TCCCTCTGTCAGCCTTTCCTCCAACGTACAACACCCTTGCCTTAACACGCAGAACCAACAAGCTGGTTTTAGCTTGAATACTCCACTTACCTTCCCACGAAGAGTACACCTTTGGAGTATTTAGTTTACCAATTTTACTCTATTCATTTGCATGCAATAAAAAATACCAATGGACATGGGAACACGGTGTCAAAACCATCTCCGACTAACCAGAACCAAAAAGGTTCAGATACTGATAACCACAAATTAACGGACTACCTAATAATAACCGGGAATCTGTCGATCACACTTCTTCAGGACACTGTTGAGTGTACTGTCAAAATATTCATATCACTGAACAATTGCGAGTGCACTTGGTGAAAAACCTTAAAAAGGAATAGCGCTGGAATACTTTCCGGGATTTTACGTTTCCTATTACTTCGCTTTCATTAGGCTCAAACAAACCACTAAAACACCATTCCCTAGGATGAGCCCTGTATCGCACTCTCTCCCTGCTCTGCTCAAGTCCATGTTTAGGATTCGACTGCGGTTGCCAATCAACTAACATAAACCAAAGGCACACTAGTTAAAACTTTATATTATCATTCAGGATATACATTTTCATTCGACTCTATCTTGGATCCACCCTTACTTAACGTGTACCCAGAGGGTTCTGCTGATAACCAACGGCAGCGTAGCCGCCAAACCGTACGCATCCTCTTCAATTCACCTGCATATGAGGTGGAAACAATGAACTCAACAATCATTCCCGGAAATATGAAAACACTTCTAAACTTCCCGTTGGAAAACTTTAGGGAAGCTGATGACGACTTACTTTTACGTAGGTTTCCCACTTTATAAATGGCGCTAGGCCTCGCATTAGTAAGTACACCAAGGAAGTACCAAACAAGGGCACCTTGTTGTTGCAATCCGAGATAAACTAAATACTCAAAGCAATTGGTAAATATATTCATTACCTCCACCTCCCATTTGCTCAGGTAAGGGAGTCACACCAGTTAAAAACACAGTGATGTGATTGACATCATTCAGAGGTGCCAGTCTCAGCAAAAATTTGTTGCCATTCACGGGAGAAAAGTCCGTTTGAACCTACTTTTACAATTAAAAATATGTTTTCTTTACCAGCCTTCCAGCAACAACTGCTCCAAACATTTTAGTGAATGGAACATGCGATTGACATCAAGGAACCTTCCAATACAGTATGTCCAAAATGTGGTCTTGAAGTCTTGAAGTGATTCACGGGTTCCAGGCTGTTGCCCAAATGTCCCGGGTCCTTGAATGGTATCTGTATTTTCTTTTGGTTTGAAGTACTTCTAGAACAGAGAGTACTGAAAAGGGATTAGTAGGGTTCTCCGCTCGAGGAGAGAAATAAAATGAAGACTTGCGAACTCTTATATAATTCAAAAAAATTT